AGCTCGGATTTTCGGGGGGTTTTTGGTTTTGGGGGTTTTTTTCGGCCCCCCCCACCCCGGTATTTGGGTTGCCAAAAAAGGGGCGTTTTTTTTAGAAGGGGGGAAAAGAAAGGGGGAACGTTTTTTTTTTTTTGGGGCCCCCCCCCCCCCCCCCCCCCCGACAGTAGGACGGCGACGGAGGAGGTTCGACGACCATCCTTTGTGTTCGTTGTGTGTTCCAAGCGTTTATAGTCCTCAGCGTCGCGCAACTGTTTTTCTCAGCCCAGCCCGAAGGACACAGCAAGGTACTGCTCCAACCGTCCGAGCCTGTCATCGAAGAAGAACGAAGGCAGTGTGTTCAAGGTCTACCTGGTTTAGACCATGGGACGACAAAGGTTGTAGATTTGAGTACACATCATGTGCAGGCTTGATAATTTTGGCGAAGGCACGTAAACAGAGTGCGCTTGGGATCATTTGGAACGTTGTGCTCTCGCCAACGGACCCGCCGTCCGACCGTTTGTCGCGATACCTTAGCCAAGGGCGCAACAAGCCACTGCTCCGATGATAGGCGCCGTGGTTTATCTTCCGGGCAGGGCTGAGAGGATTGCGTGGGGAGCCTCCGCTGGTGAGGCGTGGGGTTGGCGTCGTGCTTGGTGAAGCAGAGCTTCAAACTGTTGGCCCACTGGTGCTGCTTAGCTCGTGCTATCATCATGATGTGCTGCGGTGGTAGGGGTGCCGATGTACTTTCGTGCAGGGACGATGTTGCGCCTGTTTTCGCGGGGCTGATCCGTCACCATCGTTGCTCACGTGCGCCAGTGCCGCGAGGTGATCGGCCCCATGGGCAATGCACGCAGATTGGCATGCATAAGGCTCCCCAATGGAACAGCTTGCTAGCAAGAATGTTAGAAATACAATCGCGTTCCATTGGGACGCTTTCTTTCCCCCTTCCCCGCTTCCGGCCCCAGTATAAATACCGTTCAACGGGTTTCCAACACAACTCCTGCTGCTTGTCCGACTGCTGCTGCTGCTGCTCGATGCAATGTGACCGTCCGGCGCTCAAGACAAAGGGACGGAAAGCGATACGAGTGGGTGCTCCCAGGAGGACGATTTTGAAGAGGGAGAGATGTATCTCCTTCCCCTGGCAGCCTGTGTCGGAGAGGACAAGGAGGCCGCCAAGGCCGCAGGCTACCACCTCCCGCTCGATTGCGAGGTGCTACGGTTAAATTTCCTAGCCTTTTCGCTCCTTCTTTTTTTCGGTTTCATACACCGAAAAGTCATGTTCACAACCTGCTGCTGTGCCTCCAAAGCTGGATCAAGACGAGGTTTGAGTAGACCGGATAGGTATCTCTCACACACCGTAATTCAGTCGAAGTCAGATACCCGCCCTTTCCCCCTTGCCTCATCTCAACACCGCGTGATAAACTGCAAAGCTTTCGTGTATTTTTGCCTTGTTCTCCCCCTTACAACTATTTGTCGAGTATCCTCTGCCTGTGTAGCGACACTCGCTCATAGTGTATTTCGAGTGGTTCGGTTCTCTTGTTGCGGGATTTTTGCTTGCGTGCCTTGGAGTTTCGTACAGTACGCTTTTTCTCTGTATTGTTTTTTAGGTATGCCCTCGATAGCCTTGTTTGAAACGAACCGACGTGAAAACACCCCGCCATCGGTGTTTGCCGATGCTTGGACTCACCTGCCGGACAAATTCATTTCTGACCCCATGCCATCTATTTGGTGCGTGGTGCTGATCGGGTCCACAGGGCAAGCCTCACCCACACATTAAGGAAACCCAACCCTTTTTCTATCAGGAGTTTCTACAAATACTGCAACAACCCCGCCTCACCCTGTTCAATTTGAAACGTTAACCTGCGAGCGGTAGCAACAATAACCCGTGTCCTCGCCGGACTGGGTAAGCACTCTGCACCTTTATGGAGTTGGGGCTGTGACGGATCGCTTCGAAAACGCAGTGAGCCTTGCCTCAAAGGGGGGCCTCTTTTTTTTTTGCCTTTTTGTGCGGGTCTCGTTGATGTAGTTGTTGTTGCTGTCGCTGTTGTTGTTCCTGCCGTGCGTATTGACATCGTCTGGAAGACGAGCTACGATGAGCGCTGGGCAGCTTTCGCCAAGCTGGTCGCTCTGCCCGTCAAGAAGGTGGTCTTCAACGCACAGGCGAGAAGCAAGACGAGAACGACAGGCGTACGTGCCGTCACTTCTTGTTGTCAACAACAACCCTCGATATCAGGAAACGTTTGGCATTGCTGGACGACTTCTTTTTCTTGGTCATTTGTCAGCGTTGGATGTTGCCATAGCGGTTGCACGCCTTCTTCTTGTCCCAAAACAAGCGTGTTGGTTTCACGTGTTCACAAGAGGGTGTGGGTATGGGGACTGCCTTCCCCCCGTCTGCTCCCCTCGCCTCAATCAACGCCGTTAAATACAAAAAATATCACTTGATGACTCCATGCCGTCTTGTTCCGTCTCGTCCTGTCTCCCACATCTGGTGGGAGACGAAACGACCCAGAATACACCCTCCCTCACCCTATCTTTTACTCCACCGCCTGTGTCCCCGTTTCACACCACAACCCTCCTCATCATGTCCCAAATATCATCTGCCTCTTTCCTAGGTGGCGCTGATGCCGTTGATCGCTTGGAGGAGACGCCCAGAATCCAGAACTTTTCTCGCTCGATCCGCTGCTGCTGCTGCGGAAGGTGGCAGCAACAGAGATGGACACGCACCTTCTGCCGACTCTTCGCCGCCGCCGCCGCCGCAGCAGCGGCAGCATTTGTCAACCAAACACCACACAACGGTATCCGGGCTTTTTGACACGCGCGTGGCGGCTTGGATGACGGACACCGGGAAAGCGGACAAAGCCTTAGAATTTGAAGCGCTGTGTGTTTCCTGGCTCAAGGGTGAGGGGTCCGACGCCGGTGAGGATCGTGTGAAGCACAATTTCGTGTTACTGCTGTTGAGTGGTTCTTGTCTCTGTAATGCTGTAGCTGTGTTTTATTATTTTCGGCTCGAAGAGATGTCCGTACCCTATAGCTCGAAGAGGGGGCGGTTGGTGCGGGTAAGATTATTGAGGTTGGACATGTGTAAGCGACTGTACTGCTGGTACGATGGCTATTGCGAAGCGTTTCATCCGTATGGTTACATTTAGTCCGAGGTGATTTCTCAAGGACGATGCGGTTCCTGCGGGCTGGTCTCGTGTCAAGACGACAGCACTGCTCCCTTTGCTGAACGATTCCACTCGTGGATGAGCGCAGATATAACTCGGTGTACAGGACTGAACAACGGCAAACGATCCGTGAGAAAACGTGGAGATAGATCGTTGCGTTGTCGACCAGAAACGGAGGAGAACCATTTCGTTGTCGTTGTCGTCGTCGCGCTCGCCGTTTTTCGCTGTCGTTGGCGGCGATGGTGCGTAACTTTTAGTTAATATCACTTCTACTGCGCACGCCCGATGCAGAAGGAGTCAATGCCGGGAGTGGCGATGGAGGTCGCTTGCCGGCAATCGTGGCAGCCGTCGCACGCGCTGAAGGATGCTGCAGGCGAAACTTAGCCCTAGCGGGGAAGATTTCGGCCGAGCTAGAAGGGGCAAAGATGCTGGCCGCCTGCGAACAGGTAGGCAAGCCTTCGGTATGCAAACAGACGTGGGGTTTTGGCTGGGAGAGGAGCGCGGTCACCTGGGAGAGGAACGCAGTCGCCTGGCGTCGATATTGTGTTTTGCGGATTCTCACTCTCTAAAGATTCATTTTGTTTCATTTCGACTTCTGATCGTACTACGTTTTCCTGAATCAGTCACTCAACTTGGTTTCGGCTGCCTCTAACTCTCACGATTCTACGGGCGAAAGTGGGGGTCACGGTTTCGGCAAAGTACAACCAGTTGAACTCTACAATCTACGCAAGAGTCGACGGCAGTAGTAGAAGGTTGTGGCTTGTTTCGTATTGCAAGGCACAAAGACCAACAACCACCCAACAACAACAGCACCACCAGCAACAACAATGATTCCAGGTGGAGATGCCAGCGATCCCCGTCCTCGCCGGGATGGAGGTGTCAGGGGTCGTGTTCCTGCCGGAGAGGGTGACTCGCTTCTCTGACGCCTTGGGGAATCACCTCGAAGGGCTGAAGCGGACTGCGGTCAAGGCGGTCGGAGGAAGAGACTTCAACCTTGCTTCTCCGGACCAGGCAAGAGTTCAACCAATAGGAGAACGAATGCAACAGGGCAGGGTTGATGGTAGCAGTCGGAGCAGTAGGATAGTCAGCAGCAGCATTTTATCAGAGTCCGTGTGGGCTGTTTGGAAAGGGGGGTTGAGGGAATGGGCACACGGAGGGCAAGGAAGGGGTCACCGTCAGTACCACGATGAGTGATTTGGCCGGTCGTTGGTTGCGTGATGCCCAGGCATTGTTGGGATTGGTGCGTCCCTGTGTCGTCGCGATGGCTTCAAGCCTACAAATCCTCAGGCCAGGTCCTGTCTGGACCTTGTAGCAGCAGCAGCAGCAGCAGCAGCAGCAGTGCTGAAGAGCATGGTGTTATATGCTGGTACAGAAGTGTCTTTGACCCACTCCGGCAGCGAAATTCCGTTCTAGGAGCCAAAATAGAACGCACTTGTTGGCAAAGTTTCAAGGGAGGAAATTCTAGGATTGGGGAACGCTGGCGTCTCTCGTGTGTCTTCCCGCACCTCCGGCCTGTAAAATCGTTGCCATGGTCACCAATTCAAGCGCCCACGTTCCTCTCATAAAGGACTGGGAGCTTTGGGAGGGCCTGGTAGCTCTGCGAACGTGAGTACTTCTCACCCTAACGGCGTTGAATGACCGTTGTAACTGACTGCCCGACCGCAGGTGGCTGACGTCCTGTTCAAGCATCTCAAGCTTCCATCCCCTCCCGTAAAAGTGAGTCACAGCGGCGCACATCCACCACGGGTTCGAGCCGTGTGCACGACCACTGTTTTCGCGAGAACACGATCTATAATACCTGTGCATGGCCAGGCCGCATGTATAAGAACTGTACCACAACCTTGGGTGTACATTTTCCGTTGGCGGTGGACGTGGATGTTTTACCCCGCAAAAATGCCGAAAACTATCGGGTGCACGGACGTGCTTTCAGCGTTTCATGGCTCTCTTGCACGCCGTCGGATCTGCAACGTGTGCGCTGCCGAGCTGAAGGTAGAAACGGTCTTGAACGCTTTAGGTGGGATCACGTAGTCCATACATGGCTGCACTGCCGAAGATTGAGAACATTCGATGCAGCTGCGATTGGGGTGGTCGTGGACGTGTCACGCGAACAGCCACCGGTAGGTGAACCGCGTAGTTTTCAAGGTGCCTCACTTTTGACACTTCCCGACGGCTGCAGACCTTCTTGTTCCTTGCTGCGACTCTTACAAACGGAATCTATTTCTGGAAGGCTGCACGGATTGGCTCCGTTACTCTACCCTGGCGTGCAAAACCCCTTCATCGCTGAAGTTGGCTCAAGCCTCACCCCCTCCGCCCTCAAGCTGGAACAGTGATCCACACAGAAGCTACGAAAGGTGCCGTGCCACTACTGTGTCCGACAGCTGATGCATGGCTACCTTGCTGAATCAGCCCATAGATGATTCCCGTCATCCCTTCCTGACGTCTTTTTGACACATTCTGCCTCCCACCGTGCACGTGTTTTGAACAGGCTGGGAGCGTTCATGCTTCAACTTCTGCCGAGGTGTTGGAAGGGCTGCAAGGGAAACACGCCGTGGTTGCACCTATCCTCGAGTTCCGCGGCGTGAACAAGTACAAGACTACGTGAGCTCGCAGTTGATGGGGTGGACGTGGGGGTGTTGGTGTAGGCGTTGATGACGGGCTTCTTTTGACGACGCTCTTCCTTAGCCGTGCGAGCACGATGATTGGACGTGGTCGTGGCTAGGGACGTTCTCGCTCCTGTCCATGATGCTTGCGTGGTGATTTTTACTTCGAGCGACAAACGGATTTACCGCGGCCAAAAAGGGTGAAAGTGGATGGGTGAAATGGCGAAAAATATCGTTTTCATTTTGCAGGTCTGACAACGTTCCACATAAACAAATTAATGACGACGATTCCGTATCTTGGGCACAAAATGCATCAGTCAGTCGACACGAGTGGTTAGTGCTCATGGAGCTTTTCATTGGACGATGTCAAGCAAAAAAAGCTCAGTGCGTACTGTCAAACGACGCGTCCCGTTCGTTTTCTGCCGTTTCACTCCATCGTGCTCAGATTGTCTGAAGGGTTGGAATGGGCACCGTACCCAACCAGCGGGCGTTTTATTTTTATATTTTTTTGTCCATTTTGCTTGTGATTCTCGTTGACAAGAGTTGGTTGACCACGGGTATTTTGGTTCATTCTGACGTTCCCTCCGTCTCAACTTCCGCTGAGATTTCTTCTCTCAATTGTTGGAATACCAATGTTTTCCTCCACGATTGCCGAGCAGGTACGTGGACAAGCTCGCCGAGAGAGCTCTGGGTGCCGCGGCGGCGGAAAGCGCGGTCCCAGCGAGCCAGGGGGCGGGGGCGGCCAGGATTCACGCGACGTGGAACCAGACATCCGCTAGGACCGGCCGCCTCAGCTGCTCGAGACCGAACTTGCAGCAGGCAAGTAAACCTTACCGGTACCCAGTGGTGAATGTCGTGCGCAAGAGAAAGGACATGCTTCCGGACCTGAGGTGCTTTTCAGTGGAGCGATATTGCAGGCATGTAGTGTTGGGGCGGAGTTTTATCAATTTGTGTGGTGCTACCACGTTGTTTGGTGCTACCACGTTGAAAGGTTAGTTGGAAAGAGCGTACTTAACTCCCACGCTGTGCTGTACAAGGCAAACTCCGTTATGGTTGCATTACTTTTGATGATTTCTTCGCTGTCTCTCGCCCCTCTCTCTCGTGTCGTCATAGATGCCTAAGGGCAGCGATCCACTCGCCGGAGTGGAGGGAGTGAACGTGAGGGACGCGTTTTCGGCGACGAGGTCGTTCACGCTCATGGCCGCCGACTACAGCCAAATAGAGGTGCGTGTGCGTCCCCTCTTACCGGTTCAAGCGATGGTCGGGCCGGGCAATGTGGCTGATCATAGCCAGTCTTCCCTCCCGTGCTTCCTCTCGTGTCCTCATGATAACTCGTCTTAATGCTACCCCCCCCCCCCAAATCTGAGAATGGTATAATCCCGGATGAGGGTGGACGTCGACCCGTTTAGGGAGG